CTCGCTTTTAGAAGATTTTCTATTTATATTGGATATGCAACGTACCTATTCAACCAATTGCTATTTCCTCAGTATGGAGAAGGCAGAGAATGCCGAGGGTCTATCGGAAACAGCCTCTCTGCCCTATCGGGGTAGGGGTAAGGTCTGCGTACACATTACCCTTCCCAGACCCCACTTAGTGGGATTTTACTGGGTAGTTGTTGTTGTTGGAGAAGGCAGAGAATAGCATCTAAAATCTTGTAAAATTTATAGGTTATGTTATCACGAGTCCATAAGATCACGACCTTGTACTCGTAGTATTATCACTTCTAAATACCAGAACATGTGTACGAGCACTAGGGAAGGAGCATCCCTTTCCACCAATAGGGAGGTAAATGATAGCTTGAGCTTCTGAATGGCAAAATCAAAGATGCACGACCCAAAGCTTCAGTTTATTAGTAAATTCTTCAAATGATCTACTGAGTAATTGATGAAAAGAACGACATCTTCACAAAGAGAAGCAGAATTCAGATTTGACGTAACATTGAAGTCCATCATTGGATGGCGGAAACATCACCCTCCTGTCCTAGGAAAAAAAAGATCAGAATCTAGCCGCTTGATTTCTTCTTTCTTCCATCTTTTGTTTCTATTACCTCTAGATAAGTAGAAGAAGAGCACTATTTACTACACGCCGGACAGAATCTAAGATGAACAAGCTCTCTTTTACAAACCCAGTAGGACCATAACACCAGCTTCAATTCTTTATACAAGCCCAAGCTCACTTTAAAACAAACAAACAATCCACCTAAAAAGGACAAGGGGAAGAAGAGAACTGAAAAATCGCTATCCTATAAGACCAACACTATATGTAAACTGTAAGGCAGGATTCCGTCACCCTGACCATCCATCTACCTTTTGTTTTACATGGTAAAGCTCACCCCCTACATAGGAGCCTAACTGTGGCCCTTCCCCACTTTATACCTTTGGTGACTCGAATCCCCAATCTTATGGTTGGAGGTGGAGCATCTTTATCAATAGGTAGTCCTTCCTTTGTTTCTCATGACCGTCCGTCTACTTCACCCCTTCCAATTCTTTTCTGTCAGATCTCATGGAGTTATCATTCCTACCATAATCACTTTTTTAGTCCCCAAATTTTTCTCTGTTCCTAACAAAATTTTAGCCAAAATTAAATTAACCGCAATGGCGACCTAATTAACTCATTCCAAATATTAAATAAAGCAAAATCCTAGGTCCTGGCCATCAATACTGATACCAGAATACCAAGCAATTCTTTTCCTAGCTCCGGGATGTTTCATCTGTAAGTTGCAATGACTCAATCCAAAAATTGTCTAGCCATCAGTGTACATAAAATGAATCTACCTTCTCCAGATGGGCAAAAACATGTTGAGATTGGCATGACGGAAAATATTATCCAGGAAAATATATTCCATGATGAAGTCATTTTCCAATGTTTCTTACTAGGAAATATTTTATAAAGAAATTTTTTTACCAATACAACTTTCTTCACTTATAAGCGGGAGTTAATTTGTCCTCAAATATTACCACTCCTACTTCATCACACTTGCTTAAACCATCACGTGAACACTTTCTCAATCTTTAATACTGAATAATATCGTCAAATACTATTCTCACTGCCTATTCTTAACATCACAACTCACCTATGTTATACCTAACGAAAAAACGCTACAGCACAATTATATCCCTTTTCCACCAAGAAGAAGAATTTTCACACGAAGCGTTACGACAAAATTATATCCCTTTTCCAGCTTGGTAATTTTTATAATGGAACGACAAGTATGACCTACTAAAGCACAAAAACAACATAGTAACAAGCACCACTTTTCGTTGTTTAGGTATGAGCTGAAATTAAGACAGCAAGAAAAGTAAAATTAGGAATAAAGAAATAAACTTTACCTGAAACTTGGCCATTTCATTCTGAACAAGATTCTGAGCATTGTGTACATGAACACTACAATGCTCCACACAGTGCCCTATCTCCTCTTGCCTCCTTCTCCTATCAAAGCATTCGTAAGCACATTTGTAGTAAGCTTGCTGCACATTCCCATTGGGCAAAAAAAAGAACAAATTAACATACAATATTTAATAAATAAGTTAACTCAGTTGTGTGTGTATATGTATAGATTATACAGCAGAACCTGAAGGGTGAAATTAACATGGTCTTGGATGCCAGCGAGTTGGGTTTGGGCAGCTGTGTTCACTTCGTTGAGTTTTTGCCTTAATCTTTCTGAAACTATCCTCTCTTCAGCTGCTGCTATTGCGTCCATTCTTCAATTTGTTGTTTTTGGTACCCCAATTTGCTATAGTTAGAAGAAAGAATTGTATTTGGAGGTTTGGTGGTTAGGGTTTTAGACGGGTTTTTGGATTCCAGCTAAGCCCTTTCAATTAAGGAAACCTCAAACTTTTACGAAATTATCATCCGTTCCTCTCTCTTTCTTTCTTTTCCTTTTTTTTTTTTTTTTTTTTATT